TTTTTATCGCATCGTGTGATGTTTGCCTCAATACAAATTGGACCTCAAGGCACTGGCAAAAGAATCGAGGAAAATATCCTCGAAAAACTCCAGTTATTTGGAAGGAAATACGAGATATTCGTATCCCTCACTACCACAATATAAACGAATATTTTGTTGTATGTTTGAAATTTTCCTGCAACTTGTGAGCTAAACTTTTTCTATATGGAAAAACTCCTCCTGAAAAACTACATAAAATGACATACAAGACATTGTGAAATTAACGACGATATGATTCAGAAATTTTACTGAAATAATTTCTTCACCAACCGAATCCTGAATCATATTCATTGGAAAACCTTCAATATTGAGATCAGTACCATTAAGCTAATACCGGTAAATGTTTACAACACATCGTCTGGTCAATGATTTAAGATGCACGTACGTTATTTTAATAATACTACATAATTATTGGTATAATCTAATATTATTTAACATCGTGGTATATAATAGTATACATGATTTTTTTAAAATTTAAGTTAGTCACACTAAAATGTACTAGTTATAGAAAAGAACTTATTGTTATGATACACATAGATGACGCCAACGTGGGACGATTATGGTACAAATTTGATATTTATTAATGTCAATGTAAGATTACATTGCAGCCACTTTGGAAAAAAATGTAATTTAGTAAGACCCACATGCAAAATATGATTCTAATTTTTGTTCAGGTAGGAGGTACATACCTAGCTATTTTTTGTACTAATTTATAAGTTGTCTTAATACCGACCGTCCTAATTAACATTTTTATTAAAAAACAACACAGAAGTAATTTACTTAAGCCTAATAAAGAACCATAAAATAATACCTACATATCCATGTAAGTTTATAAATACTGTGAGAAAAAAAATCATACCTAATTAGACTTAAAGGATGCGATGCCTTTTACAGATAATCACACATTTCCCATATAAATTAGGAGGAAGACTTATTACAACATTATGCAAACTAACTTTGTAATAATGAATTATTTTCTACATTTTAGTTTCGGGATGGTAAATCACTTCACTGCAAAAGATCGAATCTGTACAGAAACTTCTTAAATTGATCAAAACTTTCAAGTTAATTATTCTGTTTTGTAATGTACCTAAATATACATAATAGCGACATATTTATTCCAGTGCTGACCTTCCAAAAATATTTCAATAAAATGTATGTAAACTTGCGTCATTGTTACCAAAAACCAATTCAATGTCGAGTTCTTCTTCACTAAACATTTCCAGCTGATATACAAAAAAATAACATTATTTAAATTAACAAACTGAAAAATTCTTGGTAAAATAACTAATCAGTTGAAGAAAGCTAATCATTATCACTCTATATTTAAAAACAATATGTAGGAGTAGTTTTTTTTCTTCAAAACCATTACCCTCGACTTCATACGCGGTTTGGTTTGACATTAAATTTATTATACAACAAGTGAAGCAATACTTTCGATTCTCTTATTTGAATCTTCTTCTTGTTCTTTGAAACGTTGCGTTGCCTGTCAGATGGTGCAAGTCAAGATTATAATTTGCACTATGCACATTCTTCAATTTACTTTAATAATTAAAATTTCTTTAATGATTGCTATAACATTAATCATAGTAATTATTATTGTTGTAGGCGTTACATTATTTATGCATGTTTGTTTTTTGGCTGCATTCTATTTATAACATTGATTTTTTATTACATTAGGTATATTATAAAAACATTATTTTTGTCACAAGATGGAATTATTACGCACTGAAAATTTCACACACTTATACAAAAATTTCATTTCTTCATAGATATTTGCAGAATTATTTATCAGCACTTTTAGCATTGACCTTTTCACAAGAAAGACACCAATTAGTGAAGATATATAGGCATGCATCATTTATTAAATTCTTGTGTTCATACTGAGTGTTCTTGGGCAATTTTATAATGGTGAAATCATTAGCAATATTGGGGATGATTTTTAACAATCTGTAGTTATTTACTCGCAGAGTCCGGTACAATATCTACTTTCTTAGATGTGATTTATGCAGTTGAAATTTGAAAAGAGCTTCTGCTATTTTCAACAAGGGCTCTTGATAAGGACATAAATCTTAAAATAAAGTATTTTTGAACATTTTACAAATTGTTTCACACGATTTTATCTCAGGAACTATAAGTCCAAATGAGTTGAAATTTTCAAGGATTATAGTCCTCTACTGGAATAAGAATCGCTGAAAATTTCAGCTTCATATCTTTAATAGAAAAAAAATTATGACCTTTCAAATTTTCCAAAATTTAAATCATAACCTTCTTACTAAAACGATGAAATTTCAATTTCTTTTTCGTTCAGATTTTGTGTTATAATGGTCATTTGGGATACCCCAAACTCCATACACTAAATTATTCTCAGATTTCAAGCCGAAATCTATGGAAAAAGGCACTCAGAAAAATTGAAAAATTGAAAAATCACCCCAATTTGATTAACACGATTTTATCTCAGGAACTATTAGTGTAAATGAGTTGAAATTTCCAAGGATTATAGTCCTCTAATGGAATAAGAATCGCTGAAAATTTCAGCTTCATATCTTTAATAGAAAAAAAGTTATGACCTTTCATGATTCTGATTTAGAGCGTGCATTAAGGCCTTGTTGAATTTACTAACATTCTCCTACCCTGACGAGAGAATATCCTAGCAAATTGAAATAACCAATCTAGAGATATTGGCTCAAAAACAACTATAGCTGATTAGCTTCACGTATGGGACCTCAGTACCTGCTGGAAAACTGGCTAACTAACAAAAAAACTCTTCAGTATTGAATATAAGTAGTGTTGATTGAATGTTGTGTGTGGAATTAAAATTTTAGCACAAAGACAAGGGATGGTACCTAATTTAAACTTTTATTGACTCAAATTATTGAATTAATGACTCGCACTTATTAAAATGACATAGTATGTTTCGATTTTTGAGGAATGTTAGATCGAGGGTTTCTCTGCCGTGCTCAATCAACTTTAAGGCCGATTTTAAGGACCACCCTGTATAGATGGAAAGTTTGCGCAAAAAGATAAATTATTTATTTTTCTCTCCTTCATATCATATGAAAATGTCATCAAATTCTGTTGGTGGCCGTGGCCAAAATGGATATGAAAGCCACGGGCCACACTATGGCAAATAAGCTGTGTCTCAGCGCTTTTCTGTATCAGTAAGTGCCTAGACACGCCTCAAAGTCGGGAGCTACCTGGAGCATAAAGATCAAGCTTGGGCTTGATTTTATCTCAGGAACTATTAGTGTAAATGAGTTGAAATTTCCAAGGATTATAGTCCTCTAATGGAATAAGAATCGCTGAAAATTTCAGCTCCATATCTTTAATAGAAAAAAAGTTATGACCTTTCAAAGTTTTCCAAAATCTAAATCATAAGGTAGGTACTTTCTTACTAAAACGATGAAATTTCAAATTTTTTTTCGTTCAGATTTTGTGTTATAATGGTCATTTGGGATCCCCCAAACTCCATACACTAAATTATTCTCAGATTTGAAGCCGAAATCTATGAAAAAAGGCACTCAGAAAAATTGAACAATTGATAAATCACCCCAAATTCCTTAACACGATTTTATCTCAGGAACTATTAGTGTAAATGAGTTAAAATGTTCAAGGATTATAGTCCTCTACTGGAATAAGAATCGCTGAAAATTTCAGCTTGATATCTTTAATAGAAAAAAAGTTATGACCTTTCAAAGTTCTCCAAAATCTAAATCATAAGGTAGGTAGGTACCTTCTTACTAAAACGTTGAAATTTCAATTTTTTTTTGTTGAGATTTTGTGTCCTTTGGGATCCCCCAAACTCCATACACTAAATTATTCTCAGATTTGAAGCCGAAATCTATGAAAAAATGTACTCAGAAAAATTGAAAAATTGATAAATCACCCCAAATTGCCTAACACGATTTGATCTCTGGAATTATAAGTCCAAATAAGCTGAAATTTTCAGGGATATGTAGTCCGCCACTGGCATAAGAATCGCTGAAGATTTCAGCTTTCTTTTCTTAATAGAAAAAAAGTTATGGCCTTTCAAAGTTTTCCAAAATCTAAATCCTAAGGTAGCTACCTTCTTACTAAAACGATGAAATTTCCATTTTTTTGTTGAGATTTGTGTCCTAATGGTCCTTCGGAATCCCCCAAACTCTATACACTAAATTATTCCGAGATTTGGAGCCGGATTCTATGAAAAAAGGCACTCAGAAAATTTTGCTCCTGCCTATTACCCGCGAATTTGCTTAACGCAAATTGTATGATTATTCAAAAACTGTACATAGGATTGAATTCATACTAACATGGACAGGTTGAGCGGGTAGTCAGAAACAGGAAAATACCAGTGGCGTACACTTGATCGAAAGAGCATTCAATTCTGACTAATAGTATTCAAATATGTATTAGAATTAGACTGTTTCAACCGTCATAATTTCATTTCACCGTGTTTCTGTTATTATACGTAAATATATCATAATATAGAAATCCTATAGGTAGGTAAGTCAAAAAGCCGACAAGTTATTATTGAAAGCACAAAAGATTGTAAGACGTCCTGATAATGTTAAAACAAGGAATAATTAAGTAACATAAGTTTCAAAATAATGTCATTACCGAAGATACATTTTTGAAAACTATGAAAAATCAATTACCTACAATTTCTCAAAGATTTGCCAGGAACTAGAAATTCCATTCGAATGAGCGAACAACATCCTCTTACAATATCTAAAAATAATTCGCAATTTCCCATATCTCACCCAAGACAAGGAAGGTCGTACCAGTACACTCAACAACATGCAAAAAAATTCCAAAATCGAATTTCGGTAGTCAGCACAGCCGTGCAATTAAAGAAAAATATAAGGAGATTCCGATAGCCATACACCCATCATCTTCGCGGTTCAAGGAGTACCACGACATGTGGTACTTTTGGAGGTGGTACCCGTCGCCGTAGCCGCAACAGACAATGAGTCAAAATGCAAAAGATGAGCCGCGTATAAAAACGAACATCCCAATTTGGCGAAGATCAGTACCAATACTCAAATTAAAGTGAGAGTGTTCGAAATCGAGGTGTGCCACAAGACAATTTTTTTTTAATATAGTAAGTCGTAAAGAAGAAATCATAAAAATGATGATGATGATGATGGCTTGATAATATGGACTATGTGATTTTAAATGGACTGTGAAATTTGTGCCAAATTGGATTACTTAATTTAAATTTTTTCAGTGAAAAATAGTGATATAAAAAAGGTGTTCAATTTCCTGCAGTGTGGATTATTTTCTTCATTTTGTGATAAAATGGAATTCTACATTATAAGGTTTACAGCTGCTTTATAGAAAAATAGGTCTATATCGAGACGTTTTTCTTAACTTTTTACTTTTTTTTAAACAACATTTCTAAATGTCTGTGAACCTAAAAGTAGGATTTTAAATGAAAGACTTTTTAAGAAAGGTTGTACATATTTACTTTTTTGTATTTAAATTTTAATTAATCTTATTTTAATTCGGGATCATTTCAATTCTGGATTGGGAATTTAAAAACCTTGCTGTTTTCTGGCTTTAGTATTGAATTTTTCTAGACCAAAAAGCAGCTGTAATGCCCTTTTTATATCACTGTTTTATACTTCAAGTTTAAGTTTTAAAAACCAAATATCTTGCCATCATCTTATAATAAATCTAGTCAATTACGACAAATAATATTTAAAGCAAACTTAAACACAAAAGTGAGAATTTTTAAAAACGCAATAACAACAACAACAATTCTCACTTTGAAAGAACCTACTGATGCTTCTAAAAATACTTTATACACCCTGTATAGGCAATTTGTTCCAACAAAAATAATAAATTCAATAATCCTGATTTGTGAATAATATTATAACTATAGTTAGTTACCACACACATCGATAAAGGAATATTCAAACTTATCAAATTACATCATTTTCGGGCAAAACAATATTCAAATTTGCACAAAACTTTGGCAATAAATTGTATAACTAAAATCTACCAAAATAAATATGAAACGCATAAATTAGGCATCAAAAACGAATAAAAATTACATAAACCTCAATATTTTTGAAAATTTGGCTTCTAAATCAATCAAATGATTTGATATTTCAAAATTTACAATGTAAGAGGTTTTGTTTTTCTATTTTAATAATTTTGTTTCTTTAATAACAACTTAATCACAATGATGAGTCTGAAAATAAATTATATTTTTACACACATTTACATAATTGGTTATAGTATAACACTATTATACAACACTATTATATTTAAGTACCCATCGGTGAGAGGTTGCGCAATAAATTTAAAAACATCTCGTGAAGATTTAAAATGTTAAGGACAATTTGCGTTTGTGTTCAAAGTAATTGACATTGAAAAAAAGCAAAAAACAATTAAACAATGAGAATTTTAATAAACTTGAGAGTGGTGTTATAACTGGTAGGTATATTAGATGGCCTAGTTTGGGTGCTATTTCTGAATAAATGAAGCTATTAAAATAATAGCTAGCTTTAAACAAATATTGATTGTTCAATTAAAATGTCAGCGACTATAATTTTTAAATATGTTGACATTTTCTGTGAACATGCCGCATTTTCTTGGCAAATATAACTTGTGAAAATATTGCAAACTAGAAGAATGATGTACCTGATATTGATTTGCAGAGGGGATTACAGTTATGTTATGAAAGCTTCGTCAAAAGGTTTTTTAAATATGAAGACAAAACTTTCGTCATATTTTTGACAACAACCTGTGCTTTTTTTCTGGTTATACAAAGTCTTCATCTAAAACTGTTCTAGTTTTTCCTTCTTCTTATTGTCTTAATTTACATTCCGAGCTATTGTAATTTCCAATGTCTCACAGACGATAACCATTAATAATTATAGGTTAGGTTAGGTGCAATTGTCAGTTTTGTCCTCTTCCATGCGACACTCGGCATCTTGTGCTTATCCGATCCTGGTGATGCCCAAGTCTGCAGTGTGAGGTGTACAGACCCACGAGGGCTTTGAGACTTTTCTTGCCCATTCCCAGAAGTGTAAGCCAGTTTTTTCCTTTTTCTGGTCATACCAGGCCGAGATTTCGTGGTTGGCCGTATTTAGGGCTAAGGGTTATCCCCCAGTACTGGCATTGGTCCAATGATGCAACTTTTGCAAGCTGATCCGTTTTTTCGTTGCCTTTTTGTCCGCTATGTCCTGGTATTCAGATTAGTGAAACGTTATTCAGGGGGGCTTGTTTGCAGTTCCATACTGTTTTCGATGTACAGTGTATGGATGCCAGATTCATCATCATCATCATCATAAGCAGCCTAGTCGCGTCCACTCCTGAACATAGGCCTCCCCATCCAATTTCCATCTCTGACGGTCTTGTGTAATGTGCTTCCATCCTCTTCCTGCACTTCAGTGAATGGCATCCATCTACCTCTTTTGGGGTCTCCCTTTGCCGCGTTTGTGTGTTCTTGGTCTCCACTGCATGACTATTTTTGTCTATCTGTTGTTCGGTTGCCTCGCCACGTGGCCTGTCCATCTCCACTTCTGCTGTGCACTGGATCACATCGTTCACACCCGTGGGTCGACGTATGTCGTAGTTGTTTATCTTGTCTCTCAGACTAATGCCTAGGATTGCGCGTTCTATACCCTTCTGAGTGACTCTCAGTTTGTTTGCACTTTTTATGGTTAGTGTCATGGCTTCCAGGCCCTACGTCAGTACAGAGAGTATGCACATGTCAGGCACTTTTCTTTTCATGTTTATAGGAATATCTGGATTTTTCAGGATAAAGCGCAACCTCACTCTTCTGGTAATTTCAGCCTTTTGGTTCTCTTTCCCAAGTTTGATCTGGTGCCTCAGATAAACATATTCGTCCACTTTTTCTATTTCTTGGCAATCGATGGTAAGTAGGTTTGCCCCACTTAAACTCATGAATTTGGTTTTTGCGGTGTTTATTTCTAGTCCCACCTCCTGCAATGCTTGATTCAGTTGCTGTATCATTTCTTTTGGTTCATCGAGTGTTTTGCCGATCAGGACGATATAATCGGCGAACCTTAGATGGTTTAGATATTTGCCATCCACATGCACGCCTTTGTTTTCCCATGATAGAGCTTCAAATATATCTTTCATATGGCTAGAGTGAAAAGCTTGGGAGAAATGGTGTCGCCCTGTCTTACGCCTCTTCTTATGCGTATTTCGTCTGTGATCATTTCGCTTTCGATCTTTTCTTGGAATGGGGCGTTCTCGTAGATGTGTCTCAACAGATTTATGTATCTTGAGTCAATTGGTACGTTCTCCATTGCTTTGAATATTGCGCTTAGGTGTATGAAATCAAAGGCCTTGCTGTAGTCTACAGAAGCCATATGTAGTGGGACGTTGTATTGAGTGCATTTTTCTATAAGTGTGCGAATTGTTTGAAGATGATCTGTGGTGCTATATTCCTTCCGGAAACCTGCCGTTTCTCTGGCTAATAGGAGTCGATTTTTGATGTTAGCCTGTTTGTTATGATTTTTGTAAGAAGCTTATACGGATGTGGAAGTAAGCTGATGGGTCTATAGTTTTCTATTGAGTTTTTATCACCATCAACATCAGTTTTTTGTGGAGTATGAAGATCTGTGCGTTGTTCCACGATTGGGGGATTTGCGCATTTGTTTAAGAGAGACTGTACTGCTTTTAGCGCATTTTTTCCTCCTAGTCTTAACATTTCTATTGTGATTCTGTTTTCCCAAGGAGCTCTTCCAGATTTAAGCTGTGAGAGTGCAAGTGCGTTATCTCCGAGTTGATGGTTTCTGGTAGGTATGTCTTCAGAACTTGCATTCTTATCATTTTCATGTTTTGTTCGACATCTTGGTTGTGGTGTGGTGCTGAGTAGAGTTCCTTATAGTACTTAGATGATTGTTATGATCTTTGTTCTTTCGTGTTGTATGTTTCCATCCTTATCTTTCATTTGGCGGATTCTTATTTTGCCTTTTCGTTGTGACTGCTTAAGGATCTTCATGCTTTTGTTGTGCCAGACTTCCTCTCTCCGCTATCATTTTGCGAGTATGCGGCTTGAGCTAAACAAGAAAATACAGAGGAAAGTGAGAAGGGATGTGAGATCCTATAATACCAGAACAATTCAAACTGTAATTGAGGACAACTCTAACATGAAAGCCCTTAGATCGAGACTTTCGCCTGGAAAAAGCAGAATTGTCAAATGAAGGATGAGAATAACCATAAATTGACTGGAAGAGACGAAATCTCTAAACATAGAAATCTTTTATTCTCGTCTGTCCACCTCTGTTGTGCGGGATCCTAATACTTAGAAAGTTACCGTTTGCAATGTACGCTCAGAAGAAATTCCTGATATAACCAAAGAGGAAATAGGGGTGGCACTAGAACATATGAAGAACCGTAAATCACCTGGGGAAGACAGAATAACCTGTGAAATGCTAAAAATGGGCGGAGACTTTATGGGACAAATTCTACAGGTGTTATTTAATAAATGTTTATCTGAAGGCAATATCCCTGGAACATGGCACAAGGCAGAAGTTATTCTGCTTTTTAAAAAGGGCGACATCACGGACATTGAAAATTATCGACCTATCAGCCTTCTGTCCCACCTTTACAAACTACTAACAAGGATCCTTACAAACCGACTGACAACTAAATTAGATGCCCATCAACCAGTGGAGCAGGCAGGATTTCGAAAGGGTTACAGCACTATGGATCACCTACAGACCATTCAAATGTTAATAGAGAAAACAACAGAATATAATATACCACTTCATTTCGCCTTTATAGACTTTAATAAGGCATTTGACTCTATTGAAACATGGGCTGTCCTGCGTGCGATGGATGGAGCAAGGATTGATTCAAGATATTCTACCCTTCTTAAGAATATATACAGAAGCGCAACTTTCCGTGTGAAAGTTACGGAACCTGAGAATCGAAAAAATTTCAATTAACAAGGCAGTTCGCCAGGGTGATCCAATATCTCCAAAACTTTTTACGTTGGCCTTGGAAGACGTTTTTAAAATGCTACCGTGGGAAAATAAAGGTGTCAACGTTGATGGTACCTTTTTAAACCATTAACGCTTTGCCGATAACATAGTGCTTATTAGTTCAGATATCCAG